CTGTACTTTCATGTTACAAATGGCAATAAAAGTCTTAGGAAACAGACCTTAAAGATTGATGTGTGTATCAGAAGTGTTCTAGTCAGCATGAATTTTTTTTCATTCATCATTTCAATTTTCCATCATGTCATGTGCTGCAAGTTGGGGGTCTTGGGCATGCTCTTTCGGGAAAAGTTTGAAATATTGACCCTCTGAAATGCTATTTTCTGCAATTTGAGCAGCATATTAAGCTGGTATGACATCTAGATCTCTTTCCATATCATTACACACCGACTTTTGTCTGCCAAAGACAACGGATTGGGGAAATTTGTCTGTCATGAGTAGCAGGGTAGACGAATGCTGGCTAGAACACTGGTATGTACACAGAAAGAAATCTTTCAGTACAGCCCTCCCCCTACCACATTCATTAATGACCTGTCCCCTACAGCACTGATGTGAGTAGTCCCTGGGAAAACCCGGCTGCTTCAAGTGTCCGTTCTTGCTCCTCCTCTGAGTCAGACAGCAGTCTCTCCTGGTCCTGCTTGTCTAGTCATCCTATCTGGGTATAGCCTTTCCTGGAGGCATTGGATGTCTTCCACTCAACCTGCGGGCAAAGACATTTTTCCATAATATAAATTTCCAGACCCAATAGTATGGTAATACTAATAAAATTTCTCAACTTTCTTGTGTCGTAACTGTGGCTGGGACTGCCATGCAAAAATAGGACTGACTAGTTACACTAGACACTTCACACAACCAGACTTAAAGTGCTACCATCATCTTTCAAGATGGAAGGAATGAAATAATAATCGCCTAGTAGTAGTACTATATATTACCGGTAAGATGTACCACATTTATTGAAGAATTGACATAACAAGTGACTACAGCATCACCTTTTCAAGATGTCAGCCCTGAGACCAGACTGTAAGGTTTAAACCACTCACACCGGGATGGCTGCCTTCTCTTTTCAATAAGTGTAGTGGGTTATTTATCATACTTGAGGTGTGGCTTTCCTCAGTTTTAAACTGTATCTGAGAGGGTGTCCCTAACCGAAGCTTGGTACTCATTTCTAAGGTCAACTGTCTACTTAAGACAGAGCTTACTAATTAACAGTGTTATCAGAACTGCAGAGTGTATGGAGTACAAAATGTCTTACCTCAAAGAAAGCAAGTGTCCCTGCCACTCCAAACACCACCAGGATGAGTAACTGCCACTGTAGCAGGAGGTACTTACTGTAGAAGAACCCTGCTGCTGCTGTCAGGGACTAAAGGAAAAATAAATATAAAGGATCAAATAAAAACATAATTGCAATGTTTCAAATTCAAGAACCTAGACAGTGTCAGACACTCTTTCCACCATTATACCATTCAACTGTACAATTGTCAAAAGTAGTCTCAGTTCCTTTGTTGTTTTTGTGTCCATTTGGAGTGTGTAACGGAATGTATTGTACTTGCCATGTTTTTTTTTAATGAGATGTAAAGTCAGCATAATTCAGGGGTACCGGGGGGGGGGGTACTACATGTATATTCTTGTGCCTTCAATTTGCACACTGAGCACACACAGTTCAAACATTGCATCTCACTAAGCAAGCCCATTTTTTTAATTAAGTGCCTAATGGCATAGCAAACAGAACATAAACCTGTAAATATAGTTTACTTAAATGAACTTTTAAGGTTCTATCCTCACCTGTACAAATTTGAAGAGTGCGAACGCAGGTGCACTGTCCTCAGGGAACATGAAGCCCAGGATGGAGTACACCTGTGTGTTAAAACTGCTGTCTCCCAGACCCAACAGGAAACTGCACAGGATCGCTACGTACTTACTGTAGGGGAAATATCAAGTTTAGTGATGGAATTCTAGAATCTTAAAAAGTATGTACTAGTATTGGCATAGATGCTTTTTTTAATGCCACAATATTTCCCATATTGGAAGGAGGACAGATGAATGGATAGCTGAATGGATAGATGAGTGAATGGATGGATATATGTAGATGGCTGAATAAGATTCTAAAACCTATGTAGAGATCATACAGTCTTTGCAGTATTGAAATACGTACTTGGAGTCCATGAGTACAGGATAGTAGCTGGCATCAGTGATGATCTCCGTGATGGGTGAAGACTGCGGCAGGTTGATGTAGATGAGATAGTACGCCGTCATGTGGACGATGAAACCAAACAGGATGATGGGATCGCGCCCGTGGCGGTTAGTCAGTTTCCCGCCCAGACCAAACGCCGCTCCGCCTGTAAAAAAGGAAGATATAGTCTGAACACCCCTTTGATAGGCTGTTTTGGCAACTTGGACTGGTCCAAATATATGCCGATGGCTGACACTGGAATAAACCACTATATAGCAGAGGAGACCACACAAAAAAAACATTTCTTATTGTTTAAAAAGTACTAATACTAGACTTTATACTTTATTAAAATGCTATCTGGAAACTTTTTAAGATATTAAGAGACAGTAGAAAACTAATAGAAAGATTACAAAAAAAATGCTGTGAATTCAAAGACTAAAAATGGCAAGTTGTAATTTGTAATAAGACAACTTCAACAACACAAAATAATCAACATCATACATTTTATTGTTCTATGGCTCACCTAAGATTTCCCCAGCCCCAATAAAAGCACCAGAGATGCCAATAAGTGACTTTGCCTCGTCACCAAAGGCCTTTGTGTTCCCAATGCAGGTACCGTACACTCCGCTGAAGAATGTTAGCTCAAATCCTGCAAGAAAAATGAAGACTTTAAACAGAACATCTTGTAGTTTTTCTAATGATTCTATACATAAACTGTTAGTGTTAGCTTGCATCATGTATAAAAAACTGTGTGAGTTTTGTACAAGTCAATGAAGATAACTAAAAATTTAAAGTAATATACAATGTGTCACTTATAAGAGGCTAGTTTTAATTAAAATTATAAATCTGGCGACAATTCTAAATAGCTAGTGTGCTATACATACTTGTATATGACTGTATTCTCACCTGTGTAAGCAAAACATACTCCAAGGAGAAGCATCTCTTTTGTCTTGAGAAGCTGGATGGAACGTTCTACAAGATGGAAAGAAAAATTCTTTTAATGTGCTAAAATTCACCAAAAAAACTCTGATTTATGAATGCAGCATTCATGGGTTGTACTTTCACAAATCTAAAATCTACATACTAGTACAGTAGTATTACTACTAGTAATAACCAAACCATAAGAAGTTATTACTTACTGAATGCTTGTAGTGGTCCCTCACTGGCCTGGTCTCCACTGTTTGGAACAAAATAAATGTTTAAATGTTATATATGATGTTTAATGTTATACTCCGCTTTATTTTAGCTTCTTTGTCCAAGAATGCACCATAATAGTAAATCATACACACCGCAAGGAACTGTCGAAAAACACATTTTGGAAGTATAAAATTAACTTACATTCAACGTAATACTAGGAAGAAACCAGGCATTCCACAAACCTGTTGACATTTAGAAGGTCTGAGCGATCTTCGGGCCTTCTGTTCCTCAGTACAAACAACATGAGTGTTCCCACACAGCACACCACCAGTAGCACCACGTACACCTGGATACGGGTTTTCGCTGGGGGTGAAAGGTGTACACATGCGTAAGAGCACCACCTAACAGTTTATGATAAAACTGCACTCTCAAAACATAAGTGTTAACAATATTGAACCTTACTAGAATACTAGTATTTTGCATCATAGTCATACCCAACAGTAAGTATTGGAGGAATGTAATGCCTTTATAATACACAGCCGTACTCACAATCAATGGTCTCCTTTCCACTGAATTCTTGCCACACAAAGATGTTCCCAAAAAGCAGACTAGAAAATAATACAACAGTTGTCAGATTGAAGTTCAAATAAAATGTTAAATATACGACTATAAAATATCATAATTACACCAAATTTATTAGGTGAGAACTTTACCTGCATTGTAGCAGTGCCCAAAATATTCCGCTGTTCCGTCCAATAGTTTCTTGAGTGGAGTTGACTGTGAGAAAGCTTCCTTGTGCAGTCCATATTACTGAAAACAATAAGACCATACAATCACACATTATGCATGAAGAACATTGATACATAACATAAAAGATTCTAACAGTTATAATTACCCTAGCCCTAATGTGCATAGTTGCACGTCAAAAATAGTTATGAAATTGCTTATTAATATAACTTCATCATATTTTTCAATAAATATATTATTTCATTATTACCTGCTGCCCCTAGTCCAATCAGCACAGATCCCAGGTACAGTGCCCAGACCATGGGGTAAATGAACACAGCTATGAACAGGCTGGGAAAAAAACATACGATTGCACCATTGTGTCAATTTGCTGCTTGCAGTATATCTATCAAGTCCATGTGAAAAATTTGCAAGACAGACAGGACTCACCTTTACACATTTAACACTGAGAATGACAAGTTCTATTCTCATGCAATATGTTCTTATGGTAATTATGTTCTTTGTCCTCTGTACTACCCATAATGCTCCATATCTCCCTGCATGCAATGGGATCCATAATTGTTTGCCCTCTACCCATAATGCTCGGTGCCTCCCAGCATGGATCCATAAAAAGCTCCTGTGACTTTGTAGTTCTAACTGATGACTACTAGTATATCCTCACCAGTACATGACTGCTCCGATGACCATGGAGGTTCGAGGTCCGCACACACTGACCACAGACGGGGCTCCCCAGTTAGCCACAGCAAACACGGAGTAAATAATCGCCAGACTGTAAAAGAAGAGAGTCCAGTAAATAATGTTCCTTAGTCTAAAAATTTAAAACAAATATCAGTTGTATACTGTGCATATGCATGCATTAATTTTTTTGTAAGTCATAACCAATTATTTAGCCTGACTAGTACCTCACACTAGCAGTCCTTTCAAAAGTAAGGTCCCTACTAGTAAGGTTGGTGTATCCGACTTGGCTACAACAGGTATGATCATGCATTATGTGTTACTACTAATAGATTTTTTTCAGACATGCAACTTGAGAAATTGTTTTAGCATATAGATCTACAGCCCTGTATTTGTAATGGAGAGAAGGACAAAGTTCATTTATATTTTCTGGAAGCTACTTGGGATAATCGTAGGGAATCCTCCCACTGTCCAAGCTCACCTGACATAGCCACTGGCACCAATAAGCAGTCCCTCTTGTTGCACACTTTGGATGACAGTTTGCTAGCGAGAGGGAGGGGGCGGTATTCAAGGAACAGTTACATACAAAGCAAAGCAAAGTGTGCACTTCTGTTTGGTCTCACATTTCAAACCATTGACCTCTTCCACCACTGATACAAAATATTCCTTTTCAGAATATAATTTTCATAACCTAAAAGCCATTTCATTTCAGGTCATGATCCTCAAGACTGCTTCCTCCACTGAATAGCCTGAATTCTGAAAACTGAATTCATATTCAAATATTTGATCAAGTTTTCTAAAGAGGTAGTGTATTGGGTTATGGGATTTTCAAATGCTTGTTCAATCTGCGTTACCATACAGTTGCAAAATATCATGCAACTTGGAGGTAATCAGAGGCACAGACAACCTGTTACTGTCTACTAGTAGTAGATTTGTCTGCAGATTTTGGGAAGCAGAGGAGCAGACAATACGATCTGGAAGCCAGCTGGCTAATAGCAAGTTAGCAACCAGAATAGAATCAGACAAAGAACAGATCTAGAGACTAGAGGTCAATGGTTAAAAGTGCCCAAACTGCAGCTGCCTTCTGAAGATGCTACCTTACATCCTTACCTGACATAACCACTGCCTCCTTGGAAGTTTCCTTCCTTGAGGACACTTTGGATGACAGTTTGCTGTCAAGTGAGCAAAACTGATGTGTTAAATTACTTAATACTGTATATAACAACATAGTATTATAGTGCATTATGTGTTGATTCTGCACTTAGATATCACTTAGAATAAGTTAAATTCATGTAACTAGATATGCAAGTTTGCTTTGTTAGATCTACACTTCTTCAAATAAGACAGAAGTAACACTTCTGCAAACCAGGTACCATACTGCTAAATAATGTTAACGTAGTAATGTTATATGTGTTTGAAACAGTTCCTGCAATATTCTATGATATATCAAATATAAAGTCAATGCCAATGCTGACAACCAAAGATACATGTCAATCATATTTATTTATTTATTTATTTCATACCTGTAAAATGAATCAGCAGGAGCAAGAGGCTTTTATTTAATTACATGTATGTCATAAAAAGTATAATTGAATACCTAGTTACCATGTTGACACTGATGTATAACAAGTCACTATAATTTATACTTGTACTATGCAATGTATTGTTCTACTGCATATCATCATCATCATATCTTGTCGGCCCACTTCTCCAGCCAGTCCAGGGCTCCCTGGTTTGCATCGTGTATAAATAAGGTGCAAAGACACTATTTGATAACTCTGCACTCATCTGTACTTCAGGGGAGTTACTAACATTTAGGGTGAACTTTAGACTCTAGTTCGTCAAAACAAGAAGGTCAAAAATCACTCAAACTTAATAAACAGTCCAGATAACTTGATAAGAAATGAACAGTGGTTTCAGCTTGTTGAAAATACACAAATGTTGTCATTTTGAATTCAAAGATTGTTGTGGTAGCTGCCTGGATGGATAGTTAACACTTACCTCTATCATACCACCCGTTTGGAAGGCGGTAAAGATGAACATAAACGAAAAACCGAGAATAACAACATTGAATGTCCGCATGTCCGCCATCTTGTCGGCCTGACTGTCATGTGACAACAAGGTGAGCGCCCGAAGTCTTACGGAAAGTTACGATCGTACTTCGGAAGAGATCGGAGACTTTCGGTATTCTCCGGTGGATTACGAGACTTAATGAGCATCAGTGACGTAGCATTTGGAGGAGAAGGCGCGCCATCAGAGGGAGAGCACAGTGAGAACTCTAGGTTGTATCCGTTTTCATCGTCTTTTCTTCGCACACTTTTTGGCATAATTCCGTCAATATAGGGTCCAGAACGGTTGCCGACATGTCCTACGGGCCTCCGCCGCCGGATATCGAGCGGATGTACTCCTTGAAGGTCGACAATCTGACCTACAGGACAACGCCGGAGGACCTTCGACGCGTCTTTGAGAAATATGGCGACGTTGGGGACTGCTACATTCCCCGAGACCGCTTCACCAGAGAGAGCCGTGGCTTCGCCTTCGTCCGCTTCTACGACAAGAGGGATGCTGAAGACGCCCTAGACGCGCTGGACGGGACGATCTTAGACGGGAGAGAAGTCCGAGTTCAGATGGCGCGGTACGGGAGGCCCACTGACCCCTACCGCCGAGCACCCCCACCCAGGTCCCGGTAAGATATCGTCTGCAAACTATCGTTTTTGGAGGACAAAATCTCATTATTTTCCTCAGATTACTTACTGTATTGGTCGTGCTGTATTTCTATCGATGCAAAATGTTTATTGAGTGTGTTCTGAGCTCGTGTTTTGCACGAAAATTTTGTTGAAAAAAATCTCACCAGTTTGAGCCAGAATAAACATGGCGGCCGTGCGCGTGGTTTCTACGTCATCACCCCTCACAGCGGGTTCCCGCCACAAGAACCCGGATGTTACTCTGCTTGCTGTACACGTGCTCGCACTTCTTTGTTCTATTGTAGCTGATGACTATGGTCGTTTGAACTTGAAGGCACAAATTATGCATCGCTTCTGAAATCAGTTGTAAGACAACAAGAGCTATGCATGAACTGAAAATAGCTAAAATGCATGTTTTTTTGTGAGCCAGAAAGATATTATGATTGTGCATGTTTCCTTGGTAGCATATGATCTTTTGATTTCACCTGCAAGACCCAAGCCATAATTTGTCTTACTCTTGTGCATGAGGTTTTTAATAATTAGCAGTGAGATTCATGAGACCTAGTTAGTACTACAGTAGTCTACAATTTGTCTCGTTGCATGTTGTCTGCAGCCTTACCTGCTGGTTGCATGTGTTAAATTTTGTGGATTTGAAATAACCTCAAAATTTTAAATGCAGAGACTCAAGTACCTGTAGGTAAATTGTCTTGACTAAGATTTTCCCTGCAGCATAAAGGCAAGGTATAAGTTTTCAGTAGGCACACAACACCATGAATGATTATTCATTCCTATTTTCCCCATTTCTCTACAGCTACAGAGGATCCGGAGGTCGCTACAGTCGTTCCCGTTCTCGTAGCAGGAGTCGATCGCGCTCCCATCGCAGGTACAGCCGGAGTCGTTCTCACAGCCGCTCCCGAAGCAGAGGTCGTCGCTACAGGCAGCGCTCCTACTCCCGCAGCCCCAACCGCAGATCCCGCTCCAGATCCCGCAGCCGAAGCCGCCACCGCGGCTCCCGCAGCAGGTCACGCAGCAAGCCCAGCCGCTCCAAGTCCCGCTCCAGGTCCGGAACGCCCAAGTCGCGCAGCCACACCCCCGTCGAACCACAACAGGAGGAGAACCACGCCCCGTCACGCTCCCGCTCTAGGTCGAAGTCGTAAAGCCTGGATCCAGGGCGGGTGATGCCACCTTTCATCAGAGTCTACTGACCAACTACTGAGAGACAAACGTACAACATGACGTTCCTGGTTTCCTGACCAGTGACTGATGTCCAGTTTATGAAAAAGGTTATTGAATGTTTTTCACTGGCATTCTAACTGTTCCCATTCCTGTTTCACCCATGCTTTTCACCGGAGGATTTGAAAGCTAAGGATGTAGTGTGTTAACAGGTGTAGTATTACAAAATGGAGAACTCTTTCCCTTCATAAAGTGAAAAGATGAAAATATGTGATGATCCATATCTGTGTGAATGAGTGTCAAAGTCTTGGTTTAACCACTCTTGTCAACAGGACATTTTAGAAGCATTGTTATTGTGATGTTTTAGTTTTGGGATGATGATAATGATAAGTGGGTTAATGTATGTTAATCATAGTAGCATAATTTTTTCTGTAGTCTTCCCAGCACATGTTAAAAGGTTAACTCTAAAGAAGCTAAGTGGATGTGTTAACCAGTAATACAGCATGTCAACGTGTACCCCTTCTTACCAATTTCTCAGTGATTGAATAAAACCATGTTAACATATGTACCTGTTATTTTTCATGTCATAGGAGCAGTTAGAAATGCATTGGTGTGGTGAAATGGTGCTCTCGAGTCGAGGCGGAAATTAGCAGAAATTGGGGTGACGGGCTGCTGGCACTGCCATGCAGTCGAGTGCAGAGCAGTCTTGGCAGAGAGAGTGGAGAGTCAGGGCGGGCAGTGAGCTGCTGTAGGAGATAGCAGAGAGCCGCAAACACGAAATGCAGAGCAAATCAAGGCTTGCAGTACAGCAGCACCCCTTGCAGTTTCGACTCCTTGCAAATGGGATGCAGTTTGGAGAGAGTGCCAAAAGCAGTCCACAGAGACCGAGGGGATGGCAGCCCTAGTGCACAGGAAGCCCCAACTCCAGAATTCTGGCTTTGAAAACGATTTGCTATTTGGCTTGTGCCCAAAATTCCTACTGTAAATTCTAATTTGGTACTGGAGTCCATAAATTCTTATTCGGTACTGTTGTCTATAAAAATCTAACCAAAAACAAACCCCAAAAATTGCTGTTTCTCTAAGTGTAAACTCATGGCTGCTACTTCAAAATATGTTTGAACCTTAAAAAGCTGTTTTGACAAAGTTTGACAAAAAGGTTTTTAACGAGTTTTTCAATAACATTCCTTCTTGACTTGACTTAGGCCAAAAAGCCTTAAAAAATTTGGACTGATCGAGCATCAAAAAGTTCTTATGAAACCAATTTTTCTTGCCCTTAATATCAATTGTTCAAAAATTGTAGATGATTATTCCATCTTTAGAATTGAGTGCCAAAATAGTATTGTCCTTGACCTTGAGTGCCAAAAATCTTTGTGAATCTAATTCCTTTCTCTTGATATGAAATTTTCCCCAAAAAATTGAGCCAAATTAAACCAAGGTTTGATACGTTCCTGGTGAAGTTTAACAGAGGAGTCAACGGCAGATACAGCGCATCACAAAACCACATTAATTGTGGTTATCTTCACTCTGTAGCTGGCTTCATCCTTTTGTTCATTTGCTTGAAAACATAAGAAGCAACCCACAAATCCTCCACTCGCTTTTTATTTTATTTCACATGCACTGCCAGGAACCTCAGCTGTAGCTCTTTTTTTCCACCCTAGCTGCAGGGATTTAAAAAAAAAAATGATAGGGTTTGGGCAATATTGTTCTTACTCCACAGAGCATTAGTTGATAGCTTTTTAGCCTTAACTGAAGGGGTTTTTTTTATTTGGAAAAATTTAGTTTCAGGAAACCCTTTATAGAGTTTACAGTTTAGACTACAGATATTTTTGTTTTGTACCCAAGGATAACGATTTGGTGAAAGGGGATTGTGAAGATCAAAATACATTCAGGAGGAATTAATTTTTTTTATTAGTGTATGTGGCTAGTAACATATTTTCCCATAATAGGTTAATTCACCATCATTTCAATAATGGGAGTTAAGGTTCTTTTATTTTGTGCACCCTTTCTGTTAAAGACATTACTGGCGAGAGGACCATTTACTGATAGCGGGTTTAGCATTAAAGTAGGGTTCAGGTTTAATTCACACCAGTTTTTCTCCTATTTACTTGCATTTTGACATACAAATCATGATCTCCCCACTAACGAAAAGGAAGGCTGGAAGACCGCTTGGGAAGAGTTGTGTGGCGGTGAAGTAATGGTAAGTTCTTATCCCACTTTATTTCGTAATGTCAGATTGAGAAGAAGGAAGCTGCTTTGGAGATGGTGCAAAGAGGTAAGGTACTTGAGATCTACCCCAGGACAAGTGCCAAGGCTGCCATAGAAGGAGCTGTCAAGAAGTGAGCAAGCCAACAGTTCTTCAAGATGGGTGTTCCAGGGGACGGATTGCTGTCAACACTTAATAAGTGAATTTATTTTACCCTTTTCAAAATAAAGTCAACATCAAATGTCAAGACACCTGTCTGTCATTACTGTTATTCAAGTGAATGGTTTACTTGTAGTGCTAGACTAAGGTGTTCACTGAAGTCGCAGTTTATTTAAGATCTTGAAACTTCACCCGGGTGTCATCCTATTTGCACACGAAGCTCCCATACTCACCCCCATACCCAGGCTATTACTAGTATACTAGGTCCCACCCCAAGGATGAATCCGCAGCCTCCAAATCTTCAATGTCACAATTCCAATCATACATGGATAATGCCTGAATACCTAATGATTCCTACATGAGTTGATTGACATCCAAACAAAAAGATACATGATCTGATCAGGTTTTATTTTCATGGACAAAAACATTGAGTCATGGAAGAACAAATGCAAGAGAAAAAGGAATGATTTTGGCCTTGGGTCACATAATCCAACAACATTGACAGGTAATTGTTCAAAACTGAGGGTATAGAATGGAAAAAAATTTTATGCAAGTAATTTACAAAACACATTGTGCATGAACTCTTGTACGTAACTTAATCTCTACACTGAAACTTCATCTGTGCTGGTACATAAAGAAACAAGGAAACAATGTTATTTCTACTTTCACATAAACTAAAGTCTACCTATATGCTGGGAGTTCTACATTATCCATACATGAAAGTTGAATGTTCTACGCAGTTTTAGCACTTCTCATGTTATCGGACAATCTTTTTAAGAAAAGCAGGTTGTTTAAATAGCCACAGCGAATTGTACTAGCCCATTAAACAACTCAATGCTGAACACAGGAACGACAAAAGACCAGTCTGGTTGAAAATCCAGCAACAAGGCGTCCTGAGATCTTGCACAATGCAGGGACAGCACTATGTGAACATTTCCATATTTTGGTTACAACACTTTTGCAATTTGCAATTCAATGCAAACTTGGTTCATGTAGTGACTCAGTAACAAACCACTCGGGTTTTCTAACCAGACTCTCAATGTGAGAATGCTGCCAATATGGTCTGTATCTATCACAAGGAAGTCCCCAACAAAATAGCCACACTATCACTACACCAGGCTAACATACAGATGCTGTTCACAAGCTCAAACTTGACAACTTTTATTTCTGACTATACATGGCACATTGTTCTTCATTCTATCATGTGTTGTTTTTTTAGCTGCTAAGAGCCAGACTCTAAGACTATTCATATTACAATACTGCCTTGTTGTGTAGACCTTCCTTAAAAGCCAGAGACATTTTCTTCAGTTAAATACATTAAACAGTAGACGTGATACTCAATACTAGTATCATCACGTATAATATTTCAGTCTCTCTTCCAACATTGTAAATAGCCCGTTGGAAAGGGTACCATGTGTTCTCTTGGGTTGGTTGACGGATTTTAGGTTGTCAGAAGTATTGCCACTTTCCTAGGATGGCATCCTTGATGGCTTCCACATACTGGGAGGGTACCCAGTACACCCAGTACCTGGATGCTTCTGTAGGGCCCAGTTGTAATCCCTGAGGAACACAATTAAAGCAAAACAGGACTTTAGTCTAACACAAAAACTATCCATCCATGTACTCAATGGAATTAATTCTGTGTATGTATGTTTTCTTTCCATTGCTTTTGTGTATGTCCACGGTTGTTAAAACGACCGACTTTATTTGGATCCACAAAGGACCCACCAATAGAAGAACAGTTGGTAGTCACAGGAAGTGAGGGGGGCATTGCATAACCGCAGACGTCCAGGAAGGTCGAAATGGTCTCCACAGACAGCAATTTGCACACATTCACTGATCAAGCAAGAAAGTCACAATTTTGCAATTATTGTTTTAAGAAAAACTGAGCCAAATATTCATGAGTAAACATGTACATGTATATTTTAACTCACCATAATGCTGTATTCTTCCTGCCCTTCTATTTTCTCACTGACTACTGCTTTGATGGAGCCCAATGGTAGTTTGTCTGTCCTGTCTGGATACAAAAAGACAAACAGCTTGTAATAATAAATTGAACTTCATTGTAGGGAAGTAATATACTTAGCTGGTGTGTTTTCTGCTTGTTTGTTTCGCATGACCTGTAAACTGCTCTTAGACATAACACAAGTTTGTACAGTGAGTTGCATATACAAGCTGCATAAGACCAGACTGGTTTGATCCACTCACACCAGGAAGGACCCATGTTCTTTAGAATGAATGGGACTGGATCTTCATGTTCAAGATTTGGCTCCCCTCAAACACACATTCTAACCAAAAGGACGGCCCTAACTGAAGCTAAGTGCAAAATGTACTTTCTTTCACCTAAGTCAGATGAGGAAATAGGTGTGAAGTGCCTTTCCCAAAGTACAACGTGCATTTGGCACCTGCTTGGGATTCAAAGCTAGAACCTTTAGATTCTGAGTAAAAGAAAACCAAACCATCTTTTCCACAAGTTTCAAGGCTAAATCAATTATTTGTCACATTATAAACGTGTCCAGACATCATGTTGGGCGTCTTGCCCGGACTGAGTTGACTCTCCCTCCAGGCAGTTCTATCCGCCATTAGCTGCTGAGGATGTTCAGAGATCCCTATTAATCTTCAGTTGTGAGTTCATACAAACCGTATGCCCCCCTCCCCACACTTACCTTTTGTGCCTATCCAGAGCTGGTCTAGTTCCAGCTTGAAGGTCAGACGAACCTTTCCCCCAGACTTGTTCAGCATCCCAGACAGTGGAACTGTGGGGAGTTTCTGAAAAACAAAATTTCAAAACTCTTAATTATAATACTGGTATAAGTCCGGATTAAGATGCAGCCTGTCATTTGCCTCTATCCTGTGGGCTCATGTTTTGTTTTTGTTTTTTTTGCTGGGAAAATAGAATTATGCTCTAACCTCTTTCCCTTTGTGTCCAGGCATGACATCATCTGGCTTTCCTTTGTCCAGAATTTTCTTGTGGAGCTGGAAAGATACATAGGGACACTTGACTGTAAAGTACTAGTAACACCCAGATTAAGTGTAATCAATGCTAGAAGTTGGCAGATGATTAAAAAGAAATAATTGATGAGACATTACTTAAATGAAACTAATAAGACCCACCTTCTGGCTTGAGAATGACTCCTTTTGTGACTCTGGATGGAAAAAAAAGTAAGAATTTTAGCAAAGACATTTGCTTGCAGAATGAGGTTAATTTTTATAGCTTATGAGTCTGTGTGTTGGCATGTGTGCCTCTTTGGTTACAGATCTAAACAATGCATCATTGGCATATACCCTCAGTGTTGCTATTTTTGTCTTTGGCACTGGTAAAAGCAACTAATGATATGAGTGAAGGGGTGAAGTTTGCCATCTCTGATCATCCTATTTATGTTTTTGTTCAATTGACTGGCTGGCTAGTTTGTTGATTACTAGTACATGTACTTCATTTATTCAGTTTTTCAATGTTAAAAATCGAACATAACCTACTACAGCCAAGGAACCTTGGGACAAAATGCCTATACAGTAAAAACAACTTACTTTCTTTCTTTTCCTCCTCTTTGATAGCTTCCTTGTCGACTGTCGTAGCTGCAACCACATCGTCTAGCGTCGAGCCCACCACCATCATTTTTGCCCCTTTTGTTACCTTCAACTCTCTCAAAGTCTTCTGATCTTGAGCTAACCCTGGAACACAAAAAAAAAACACAAAATCCTTACTTATTTCATAAAAGCAGAAAAAGATTTATACACTGGACACCAAAGTAAAACAATGAGAACATGCAGAATGTAGAAAAGTACCTTACCTTTGTACATTAATTTTTGCATAGCTGGGGGAATCCCTGGAAAACAAAGATGCCATAAATATTGGACCAGCAATTTTATTGGTAATTTTTTGCATTTTTTTCACCAAGAAGGCAAGTAGGCACAAGTTGTTTCACTAACATACATGTAAACATAGAATTTGAACATACATGCCTACAAAGTAGTCTAATATGGGTCCAAACTAAATGCAATGTGCATATATGTCATATCTACATAATACATCCTGCTAGCAGTACAACTAATAAATGTGCCTTTTGTATGGGTGGAAATCTTCAAGTCTATGTACAGTATGACAGTACTAGTACAACAATGCACTTACCTGTAAGACTATGAATATGTTTCTTCAGCATTTCTACTGTGTCGTCCAAAGGAAAGGTAATGTCATATTTCTTCTTATTCCACATAACCTTGAAGTCTATGGTTTCTTTGGGTTCAGACAAAACGTCTGGTAACGTTGTTGTCTCTTCTTGAGTGTGTGGTTGAGGGGACCCGTCCACGGCGTCGGGAGTTTGCTTGGTTTGTGAGTCTGTTTGTGAGTTTGTTTCCACTTGTGTGACGGGTGCCTCCTGTTCTTCTTTTGCCGGAGGTTCGGCCATCATTTCCGTGTCTCCTATGTGGTAGAATATATCAAAATTTTCTATTAAGTACACTACAAAGTTTGTGCATATAATACAATACTAGACTATACCACTCTTTGGGAAGTGGCCTTTGGCCATGTGAGCATCGAAAGAACTCCAATCTACAAAAATATTTTAACAGTTTTAGTTGATGCCTGAAAGAAGATGTCGCTAAGTTATAATCATAATTGTCATCATCATCATTATTCATAACATTGTAGCACACACTCTTGATCATATCTCCAAGCAGATGTTGGGTTGAAAGATCGTAAAAACGTTTTTAATTCCCTGACTGCCGGCTTTTTAGATGAATGGGCAATGTCAGTGGTCAGCCGAGAATCTCAGCTGCAGAACAAAACGTTGCGATATCTACAACCCAACATCTGCTTGGAGGGATTACACTTGACTTTGCAACTTGATCATACACACACGTCATGGTTTGAACAAACGCAAACTCACGGTTACAAAACACAACGGCAAAAACCGCGCTAGGAGTCGTATCAACCGCCCTGTCTTCAGTATCGGCAAGACACTGAGCCGACAGCCGTATGTAGGTTAGCCACACCTATAGGTTATGTAAAAGCGATAAAACCAGACATATTATATAAGATATTGAGGAAAATTCGACGTTACATCAATCACGAACCTTCTTGGGCAGCCATCTTTGTCAGTTACAAGGTATCATGGGAGGTCAATAAAAGGTCAACACTAAATTTTCGATTTTTTGGTCACTAAGTGTTGCATGAATAACTCCAAACCAACTGTAGATAATGCATTTGTATCAAATGATAAAATTTGCTTATCATATGAAAAAAAACTTTTAATTAAATTATTTTATAAAAGCATGGGCAGGTCAAAGGTTACCCTACTTCCTTGTGGTCTGTTGTGTAATCGTTATTCAACTCTCACAGTTTGCTGTTTTAGACGGCGCGTTTTCCCGTTTTTGCTGACAGTTGATGCTGTCAAACATCAAGATGTCATTCTGTTCATTCTTCGGCGGAGAGAAATTCAAAGATCACTTCGAAGTTGGTGAGTTTCGGCATAAAACACACATAATTTTTGTGTTGATGATCTTCCGTCACAGTTTCACTTTCTGTGATTTTTTTGTAAGACAACTTCCTGCTTCAAATTTTGTGACAGAATTTTTTATGAATGTACTGTATAACGTATAAAGTAGTAAAGATTATTACTTTTTTTTACAGTTAATTTTTACGCTCAAAAATCAAAACATGTCTCATAGTTTTAAGTGTATGAGTCATAAATATAATACAATGTAATGTGACTCGTGACTCAGGAACCAGAAAAAAATTGTCTGTAACATGAATAATTAACCTAGTTTCCAGGATTCATCCGCAAATAGTCCAAATATTTGTGAATTAAAATTTCATTTTTTTGGTGTTGATTCATATTTTGCAGAAACATACGTTTCAATAAATATAATGCTACACCCATAGAGAAATGTAGGCTGCCTTGTATTAAAACGTTTATGAGATACTAGTATGTTTTTGGCTTGAGTACATGCTACTGGGTAAACATGACCTCCTTTTTCCACATTCCAGGTCACTACGCATGTTCTAAGTGTGGGTATGAACTGTTCTCCAGTAAAGCTAAGTACGCCCACTCCTCACCCTGGCCTGCCTTCACCGAGACTATCCACGAGGACAGTCTGTCCAAGAGGCCTGATGGTCATAACGCCCTAAAGGTACCTAATTATGCTATAGCTGCTAATAAAAAGTCACTTTGCCCAAAGAGCTTTCAAGATTTGCCAAACTGTTCTCTTAGGGTGGACCAACTCCCCTGAAATATCATCTGTCTATTTGGCTAATTTCTACTACTCTCTCTAGCCACTTCCTGAACCAGGCTGGTAGAGGCTAACATGTACATAACCCTAACAGTTTGTTTTCCCCTCTGTTTCCTTAAATATAGGTGTCCTGTAACAAGTGTGGCAACGGGCTGGGTCACGAGTTCCTACGGGACGGTCCCAAGGGAAATTCACGCTTTTGAATATTCTCGGACTCTCTGAAGTTCGTACCCAGTAAAAGTAAGTCCTATAATATACATTGTTGTTGTAGATTTTTAGGTCCATAAACATATCGTTTTTCTTTCTTTTTTTTTATTTATTTTTTTCAAAATGTAATGTTTTCTAAATTATTTGAAATGTACAGTTATGATATTTGCTAATAATCCTTTTCCTCCTCTATTTCAGATCAGGCCAATGGGCCTCAGACTAACGGTCAGGCATAACTGGTTTATGTCTGCCACAAATGGGCACTGCTTTATCAACAAGTAGAATACAAACATCTGTGCACTCTTCTTACTTTCTAAAAGTATCAGTAAAAATGTACAAACATTTCCTAAATGATACCAAAGAATTTCTGTGTTGCCATGCAGTATGTGAGCCAGTGATGCACATTTTCTATTACTAGTACTAGTAGTAGATTGAAATGTAGGCTGACACCATATTGTGTATTCATTTGGTATCCTTTACTTGAAATCCACTACCAAGAAAACTGAGATTTTATACTTCTTTTAACTTACTAGTATTTTGGATTTTAATGACCTTCAAGCTCACCATATTTAAATTTACTCTTTGTCTGACCATTGGACCTCCTGCCAATCTTGCTCTGTCACCATGTGCTGTCGACCACCTCTCAAGTTTACCCCCATTTCTTGTGTCTGACCTTTTGTGTCTGACCTTCTGTCATTCTGCCTGTCCATCTCCCCATGCTGTCAACCTACCCTTTCCAGAGATACACAAACCCACCGTTCAGCCACCCAAAGCAATACATCTCTCCCCATAAGTAACAAGAGTGCACAGATTGTATCTGGCAGTGCCCATTTGACCTTGATGCAGCTGCATGATTGCCCAGCTGAGGCCAGCGAATGAAGCGTTCCTGCCAAACCCTCCCCAGGACAGCAGGGACAGCCGAGACACAGCATGGCCTTCTGGGAAATCATCCACCTCCATTTAACCCCCCTCCCATCTTCCGAGGAACCACGGATTGTTCAACTCTTTTAAACTTTACAAAAAAAAAGCTTACATTTCTGTTTGAGAAACCAGGGATGATACAAGAGATTCTCCACTTTTATCTTACTGAGTGAATTCAAGCACAAGTCTCATCTTTAGTGATTTCAAAATACACATCTACTGAGTTCTAGCAAATATATTTCAATCAAAAAATTCAAATTTATACATACAGTTCACCAATTCCAGAAGCCCAAAATTGAGTCAAGTATTTATTCCTCATTCCTCTGTTACTAGTACATTGTACATGTATTACACAATGCATATGATGTGTTGCAGTTACAGAATTAAGTTCTAAGAGCTAGTTTGTGTATTTTTTACGGCAGGTAAAAGAAGTAATTGAAAACTGGCTGCTGTTTGTAATTGTTTATTCAATCACTGTACTACTTTCTCTATTTAATTGGTAATATCAAAAGAAGGCTGGACATAGACTGTAGCTGTACTATAACTGAAATTACAGTGTCAACTTCTGGCTTTTGGTTTTACAATGTGTATGATATTGTATCAAAATTTAGAGAAAAAATATGTTACAATAAGTTACAATATTTTATCATTTGCCAATTAAGGTTTCTGGAAATAAAAGCTGATGAGCACATTAATATGGCAATTCTCAATATTAACATAGGACCTATCAATATCACAAAGTGCAAAATTGTTTTTATCAGTCTATTTTTCCTTCAGCACATGTACTTGTACTTTCAGGAGGATGTTTCTTTTTGTCAGCAGTAGAACCTCTAGTTTCTGAGTCCTCCTTTTTGTTAGTTGCTGATTTCCGTTGAGGTGCCAGTGACGTTGGCAGGTCTGTCCAGAGCTGGTAGTCCTTCCTCGCCAGAAATCGTCTCACCATACGGCACTCCAGGCACGTCACTACCACGTGTTTCTCACGCTTTGCTGGGGGGGAAATCGACAAAAATTTAGACAGGAGTTAGAAAACAACAGATCCTTCAACTTGTAAGTTGTATGATGAGAAGTATACATTAATTCTGACTGTCCATCACAATGACCATTAGCAATAAGCTTAAGAGAGTGGCAATTAGCAGTTCAGCCAAGGAGGGAGCAGCTGCTTGTCCATCAAGTAGTTGCATTTTTATGTTTTAAACTTTTGATGGCAGCGTCTTATGGTCAATTTTTCCGTCATTTCACAGAATTTTGCCGCTCAAAACGGACAAAACTTTTGCCCAATCCGTCATGTTTGTCGGATCTGTTGGTACCAAACATTTACCTCTTATTCTGACAGTAGCTGTAACTCCAGGAATAAGCAGAGAATCACATCTCTTACAGATGGTCCTCTTAACACTGGGGTCCCTGTGGAAATATAGCCAGTGTTTTAGTCAAGAACATAAATATCAACCACAATGCAAGTTATTCAGGACCGTACTATGGGCTCTTAGTATGGCTTTAAAAGTTACCTCCAAAAATGACAGTGCAATAATAAAGAAGACTATAAAAAGTTTATTATACATCCAGATACTCACTGTCTCTGTACACTGGTTTTGGAGACCTTTTTGAGTGTACTGGTGTAGAATCTGGCCAGCTGGACGTTGTTTGGGTTTGTGGACATCACTGTGTGCGCCATCTCGGGGTTTAACAGAAACACAGAATAATTAGCCACAAGCACCAATAATAGTTTAGTAGTCTATTATAACACAGGGTGTCTGCTACCGCACCAGTTACCATGGTGACAGCCATCTGGTCAAGGTCATTGACCTGATTGGTTTGGAAAAGAAGAGGAAGAAACAGAGCAAAAACAATGTTTCCTTTTGCAAAGAAGAACCCAGGCCTCACCTGGTAGAGAAAATTCATCCTCTGAAAGTTGTCTCTCCCTGCCATCTGACCGACTGGATCTGCTGTCTTCTTTTTCCCCATGGTGCTGAATTGGTAATAATCAAGCAATTGTTTCGATATTTCTTAATATTCTACACAAAATTACAAAGGAAAGAATAGTTGATGTAGAAACGTGGTCTCTCTCCCCGTATCTCTCAACATCTGCTTTAACTTTGGGTTATGCCAAATCTCTGTAGGGATCATAGGTCACCAAATCTTTTTTCGTCAACACTTTCTCGCACCTTGTGACAGAAGAAAATAGTTAGAGTCTACTTATATCATTTTTAAACATTTATGTAGAGTGGGAAAGATATGATATTAAGAAGAGGGTCATGTAATGATCCCTTCTGTACTTATGAAGATTATCAAATTTTCTTAATCCCTCCTTCAGGTAGATTGGTAGATTCCTTACGCAAAATGGCGGACGTAAGGTAAAACACGAGCGGCATGCGGCCGGCGGTTTACGGTAAGATTTTGGTCTATTTTTAGGTTTCTAGATACAGATGATAGTTCAAATGGCGTTTCTGATTCATAGAGAACATTTCGAGAGCGTTTTTAGTTGTCTCGTTGAGCTAGAACTGCTGAAATCGGCTTCTTTACTCGGTAAAATACATGCCCTTGGTCGGGACAAGATGAAGATCTCCAAGCAGATGTAACGTGGTGGTGGATCGTTTTTACCCCTTTGTACGTTACCTGTGAAGAGTAGAACTTTATTGGCCAAATAGACAAATAATTTTCCAGGGGAGTTAGTCTACCAATTTATGGAATAAAGTTGAGCGGCAAATTAATTACATACAAGTAACATTACTCCTTTAGTGGACCAACTCCCCTTGTTATCAGTCTATTTAGTCAGTTTCTTGAGCCTGGTAGACTACTAAGAGGCTATATTATCCGTTGTTTGTGCGTGCTTCTGTTTATTCTTATTTTCTTCACACATCAGTGTTCCAGCAGAGAGCAGGTGCTGCAGTAAGGACTGTGGTGTTGCAGAAGGGAGGCAGAAGTGCCTGCACACCTGTGAGGCAGACATGTGACGTACCTGCCAGGTGCCTCCACACCTGGGACACACCATGGGATAAAAGATGGGTAAGGCCAGACATGGGTTACTCTCTAATCTAAAGTACTGTTTCTCAAGATGTAGAGACGCGTAGAGATATTTTGAATTAACCTTCAAGTTCACATCCAAAGTGCAAAATGCAAACATTTAATGTAATTTCAATTTCATCATCATCAATTTCAATTAGATAAGAGAGAAATACAGATATAAATGTAGTGAAGAATTACAGGCTAGTTCAAATACAAATACATGTATTCCAACCTTTGAAATAAGAACAACACAAAGAAAAAACTCCTTTTATTAACAACAATTTTGTGTCTTCTTGCTACAGTACTCCTCCAAGGCCCCCTCCAGCATCACACCACAGCACACCTACAGAGCTGTTTCCAGAGAAAATGTTGAAAATGACTACAGGAGAATCCTCCCCACCTCAGCCAGTGTGCCAGCCTCTAGTACAGAACCTCTACAGGGAGACAGCAGACAGGAGACAGGCCACAACAAACCTACAACCATCGCTGAGGACGGGGTAAGGGGGAAGTTTGCATTAGTATTACCTCATTGTGTGGAGGTTTTGTTTCCTCATGTTTCCTCCACTGTTATCTTTTTGGTAGCAGTAGAACTTGAGGTTATGTTTTGGTGGCATTTGTTTTGTTTACTTTGTTTCGGTGTGGTTTAGCTTGATATCTCAAGGAGCTGTGAATGGATGGTCATGAAATTTGATAGGTGGGTAAGTATTTTACCTAATATTGAAGAAATTAATTTAGACCTTGGTACTGCAGCAGAATTTAAGGTTTGCAGCACGTTGCTGTCATGGGCATGCTACATTTTGTAGGATCATAATTTTACGGGACAGATAGCTCTTGCCTCATGAATAAGTGGTAAAGGTTTGAGCCTTCTTGCAGCTTTCATGGAACTGCAGGGGCCAATTTTGTTGGACTATATCTGGAGAAGGAGTTGACAGATTTTCATGATTTTCGGAATGTGGTTAGCTTAATTGTATTCTACATGCACATGTAGGTACCAGCCACTGGTGTAGATGACGTGGATGCAGACCCAGAAGTTCTGCCTCCCAACCAGCTCTGGAGGGAACAAAGACTGGACCTGGGCAAACTGCCGGGATACTACATGAAGTTATCCAAAATCAGACTCACAGGTAAACAAAAAACAGAAAACAAATTGTTTCTGTTAATGCACAAATCAACATCATTACTATACATGTGTGTAAAGTCTAACGAAAGCATATTTGATTCAGCACTCTGGAAGTGCATTTATGTACGTATCTATCTATGTATATATACATTCAGCAACTTGAATGATTATGGTACTTTTTACTCATGCGAAATTAATATATGGAGGGAAACAAATAAAAATCAACATGTAAGTACTTCAAGTGAATTTATATGTTACGAAAACTTGCCAACGTGACCACTTTTCTTGGTCCCGTAGATAATTTTCTTATTCACACAAGCGTTTTTTTGCAGGCCTTGTAGTGATCAGTGCTATGGGTGGGTACTACATGGCACCTGGTAGTCATGACATCTCCACATTTGTACTGGCCATGACTGGAACTGGGCTGACTTCATGTGCAGCTAACACTATCAACCAGGTAAGACACTGTACTAGCTGACCTCAATTAAGATCAATCCGTTTTTCTGATCATGCTTCTGAATGAAATTTATTTTGCAGTAGAGTGTTTTTAACAATTCTCTCTCACACGTGTGTGCAATTTTTCTTATTAACAATTCAAAATTATTTTGCAGGTGTTTGAAGTTCCTTTTGACTCCCAGATGGATAGAACCAGGAACAGAGTCCTGGTCAGAGGGCTGCTCAGGTGAGAGGCAGAGGGTATTGCATGATTTAGGAAAACTACACTACAGGTACCATGGTGGCAAGGTAGTCTTGTGATTTAATAGGGTTGTGGACTTGAAGGTTCTGCTGAATGCTTTAATTATTAACTATACTAATGTTTTGCCATGAATACAAGGAACTCATGCATTTCCATTAACTTACTTATGTTTACATGTATTTTTCTGTTATTAATGAAAATACAATATACCTGTTTGTTGAGTTGTCTTTGTGCTGTTTTTTCCAGTCCCCTCCATGCAGTAGGTTTTGCCACAGTGGCAGGCTCCACTGGCACACTACTGCTATACAACTGGATCAACCCACTCACGGCAGCCCTGGGGGTGGGCAACCTGGCCCTCTACACACTCCTGTACACCCCCATGAAGAGAATGAGCATTGCCAACACATGGGTGGGGTCAGTAGTGGGAGCTATTCCTCCCCTGATGGGCTGGGCTGCCTGTACAGGAGGACTAGAGGCAGGTCAGTATTATAGTATAGAACTCTGCTCCCTTTATCTTTACTCTTAAGGGTATGAAAGTATTGCTCTAGGTGAAGTTGTGCTTTTGTGTTCATGTTTGCAAGGTGGGTGGGAGGGGATTTTGACACATAATTGATAGGAAGGTCAAACCTGAAGGTGACCCAGGACATGCCAGATGGGAGTTGAGGAAGTGGTGTTAATACCCAATTAGATTTCATCATGCAACTCCTTCGACAGTTTTAATTTTTTGGGCAATGAAACAAATCATTACAAGGGTCAGCACAGACAAAAAAAACTAAGCTGGTAACAGTTTATTCACAAAAAACAGACATAAGACATAATAACAAACAGTTCTAAATTATGTTTATGGAAAGTTCCTGGAGAACAGTGAACTTGGTCACAAAACTCTAAAATACTATATGGAAGTCTGAAATTTCCAATGTGTTGTTACAGGAGCGTGGGTGCTTGCTGGCATACTGTACTCCTGGCAGTTCCCACACTTCAACGCCCTGAGCTGGCGTCTGCGGCCGGACTACTCCCGCGCCGGGTACTGCATGATGTCAGTCACCAACCCGGACCTGTGTCGCCGCGTCGCCCTACGCCACTGCCTACTCATCACCACCGTCTGTTCCCTCGCGCCGCTCACAAACCTTACCACCTGGGCCTTCGCTTTCAACTCCCTCCCCCTCAACCTCTACTTCACCTACCTCGGGTGGAAGTTCTACGAAGACGCCAACAACCAATCAGCACGGAGGTTGTTCATGGCCAGCCTATGGCACCTCCCGACACTACTCCTGTGTATGTTCATATGTAAAAAGTCCCTACATGATAAGGACAAAAAGGACAATGTTAAAGCCTTCACAGATTTTGTAGTGGGATTCCATCCCTTTCCTGTGCTGCCTTTCCACAGATTATAACATTATAGTCATGTACAAATGTAAAGAAAGAGGTTTTATTGCTGTGATTATTACATGAGAGTACACATTGAAATTGGTACTTAATGAGAGTACATGTATGTTGATACATTGTGTAAAATGTCAGATTCTTGTTGCAAGGCTAAGTAAGTTTTGATTGGTTTGTTGTAATGTACATAAGAATATTGAGCTCAACTAGGTTCTGAATGTACTGTGCAACTCAGGTAATTTGCACATGAACGTGTATATAGAATGCCAGATACTGTAAAGCTTGAAATATTTGCAGGACTTTACTTCCTTTGATTGAGCTGCAACTTTATGCTAAAGGTCTTGAAACACAGCACTATAAGCCACCTTTGTTGATGAAGGTTAGACATCTAGGTAAACAATATTCAGGCAATTTAAACTCCACTCCTGGATAAATTATGATTTCTTCTGTTTCGCACCAATTACTCTTCTTCAGCATTTCTGAACTTGTCAACCACATTTGAAAGTATTGTGACTTACTAGTACTTTCATGTCTATTTTCTTTCTGCTATGGGAAATTAAAACAAATAATCCATCAGTTGTTTTTATGGTTCATTGCTTTAATTGAACATCATTGTGCACAAAGATGATATTTTTATCACCAATCAACACTCAAATATATAGCAACATTGTAAGTTGCATAAATACAGGTAGATATATTACAAATACAAGTGTTACATATTGCACTTCACATTTAGGAAAGTCATTTGCATATACATATCTACATACATGTCTTCCATTATGGACTGCTGTCATTTCAAAAATCTTCACGATATTATCAAAATGTTTATGTAAAACACGCATACATTCCTTTTAGCTTTATACATTACCAGTAGTACAAGATACAGATGTACACATTCTACACCGTCAAAAGTTATCAATGGCATGAATTTTACAAATCAATCAAATGCCTTATTTCTTGCTGGGACAATGATTGCTTGCAAGATTACTAGCTTTGATAGCATGTACGTTTACTGTAAATTTATGCCTGCATCAATATAATGATACGGCAAGAACATAACTAGAGTTGTGCCTTAAATTCCCCACGCTTTACTATTATTCATTTGAGAAATTATTAATAAGAATTCCCTGATATACAATAAGTGTATAAAGACTGCCATGTTCTATTGCAGAACCTGTCCAAAGGCTTTTTGTATCTTTTCCTACCTTGAAAGTTTGATATAGATAGTCAATAAATATGACAATAAATAGTTGTACCGAACAGGCTAATGTAAAATCTCCAAATCAGCATTTGTCGATGTAAAATCTTAAATTAATCCTGAGAGATTTCAATTGTTAAATTCCAACATCGGAGTACACAGGCTGTACCCCTGGTAGTTCAAATTCAGTGAGTAAGAAGAGATTTAGGCTGAATTACTTTTTTTGCTGTTTTTTAGCATCATTATCCGACTTTGTTTTTGTACTGGTACATTGTATCTTTTTCCAATGTATTGGATACTGCCTCGCCAATGACACTGTCTTGCCACCTTGTATTGTACATATGATAGTAGCAATACTATACACATATGCATACGTCAAAAAGGCACATTTCCTTTCCCATATGGTAAACTTCAAAATTTTTCAAAAGCTATGTGATGGCTTGTTGTCAGGTTTCCCATACTTCCGATGGTTTACAGTCATGTACCTACAAGTACCACTGACTATGGTCGTCCAAATACATACTTGTACAGCATACACAAGTGTTGTTGTAAATTGTTGTAACTCTTAAAACTTGCCTTCTTTGTGCGGTGACTGATTTTCAATATTCTTGGAGTCCTAACTGACTCACTATTTAGACAAAAGATTGTATTTAAGCAAAAGGGCAGTCAGATGAACTAGATGTCATTCGCAGTGATGGCAGAGGTCCTAACCCCAACTGCCCTCTCATGCTTTGCATTGACAGGTGCATCAGGTCTATGCATCATCCCCTGATTCTTCTTTACATTCTTGTTCTTCAAGCTCTTTGCACTATCTCATCAGAGCCTTCAGTTCCATCTTGAGAAACATCTTAAGAGACGGGTCCTGTATCTGGTCGATAGCTGCCAAGGCCTTCTCTCCCCCATCCTTGTAGTGTTCCAACAGTTCCTCCGCATGTTGTAGCCACACACAGTTGGCACAGCCACTCATGCAGCAGTTGTCTGGTGGCAGGGGAGGGAGCGCACCTCTCGGAGTCTCCATGGCTATTCTCCCAGGTGCTGGCACACCCTTTGTTCCTTGTGAAGAGTTCACACTTTTCATGGCATCATTGGTGTTCTGTGTAGCCTTGCTGATGGCAGATGTGTGTAGAGTGCAGGCACTGGGTATCTTCTGCATCTGTAATGGTAACATGAAAAAATGGTTGCTTTAGTGATAGCACAACTGTGGGGCCCAAGGGCTTCAGAAATGGAGGGGGCATCACCCCTAGCTATGCTCTGCACAGAGTGGAACGGGACCTTTTTTTTTAGCTTTTATGATAAATGTAAGCTTTTGGCTCAGGCTGTCCAGTGGGTAACCTGAGAAAAGAGGATTTCGAATCCTGCTCTAGCTATGTTCCTACATACATGGCGTTACTATGCAAGGTGACATGGCACCACCATAAACTTACATCAACAGGGTCAAGTTCGCGTAGAGAGTTTGAAACAGCAAGGGCAGAGTGACTTCCACACGCCCCCCTCCCCCTAAAACCCAGCCTGATTTTCTCACCTGTGGTACGTACAAATTCCCCTCACACAGGGCCCTGACAGCTCTGGCCCGCCACATCATCGGTACGGACACTTTACTGAGGAATTCCGGTCGGAAATGGCCTTTATAATCACTGGTTTTATCTAGAAAACCTTACGACATCTTCAACAGACATTTTGCAACATTTTTGCAACCGGAAGGGAAATCCTTGTGACGTCACGGACATGCCCATTGATTTATAGGGGTTGATTAAAATCGATCATTGTTACCTAAGTTCGAAAAAAATAGTATTTTTTTGACGCAAACAAAGGTTTTTAATTCTCCCTTCAGCTTTTTGTATTGGTTTTAACTTAAATGAACTCAGCCTTCTTCTTTCCCTAATATTAGTGGCATATTCCATTGACCCCAAGCTAACCCGGAAGTAGGGACATCCCAGTCCATGTGCGTACAGAAGAAATAATTTCTACAGAAAGAACGACTGTTTTCACGTCTATATCATAAGATTTGTTTGACTGGAGGAACTCAGGAGGATGGGGAAACACAAGAAGATCAAGGCGGTGGACCCTTTTTACTTCGGAAACCGAAAACAGCCTCAAAACAGGTACAAATGTTGCAAAATAATTTAGCTTCATGCACAGACATTTCTACGTACTTGTATGCTACATGTGTATGTTATGTGTATGGTCCGATATCTTTGTGTTCATGCTACAAAATACAGACTTCAAACGCAAAATACACAAATTAACAGTGGTAGGCCAAGTTTGCATCATGACATGTACATTGCATGCAAATTACCAATAATTTGAATATGCCTGAAAAATTGATTTGCATATGCCTACCATTAATTTGCATATGCCTACCATTAATTTGCATATGCCTGCCAACAATTTTCATGCGCTTACCAATAATTTGCATATACCTACAGTAGTACCAAAAATTGATATATTAAAACAAAAACAGCGACCGCGCATATTGTCCAACAGAAATACAAAAGTAGTAAACCAGGCCCCGAAGAACACCGATGTTCAGGAGGTACCGCGGAGGCTGAGAGAACTCATGCAGTGGAAACAGCAGGGAGGCAAGGGAGGCAGGTCGAAAAAGGGAGCGGTAAAGACAGAGAGCACAGAACAACAGAAGGGAAAATCCATAAAAGTAGGGGCATCAACAGGTATGTAAAATTGTAAACTTTTTGTTAGATAGACAAAACATATATACCAGTATGTAGCTGAAATAAGGCTGACTTACATGTAACGGACAACCATTCGAATTTCAATCATTACAATATGTGACATTTGCTAGTACACTACATCCTACTCTTCCAGTCCAGGTATAATTTATCCCCTCTCCCCCAAATCAAAAATGAGTTCACAGGTTCATTTCCTGGCATTCCTGACTAGACCTTGTCATTTCAAAAGATACTTCACACAAATTTCCTCATTCCACCGGTACCAGAATTTGGTCGAGGAGGTAAAAGGTGGTGGAAGGAATGGGGACAGGCTCCGCCTTCTAATACTACTACCATGCCCTAGTGAACAGTGTTCCTATGGTCCCAAAAGCTATATAGAACCTTTAGCTAACTTGATGTTATAATTATTAAATGAATAATCTTTAAGACAGACATAACTTCTGTATTCCACACAGAGGGTTTTCCCGTCCAGCGTGTAGGTGCAGATGAGCCAGTGGATGGCAGACCGGTGGAGAAAGTTCCAGACTTCACACAGAAGCCCTGGGAGTCAGAGAAACGGTTCGTGGAGCGGATGCACATGGCCACGCAGGTGGCGTATGAGAAAGCAAAATGGATGCCAGACATCGACCCACTGAAGGAGGAGGAGAAGAAACAGAAGGCAAAAACAAAACAGTGGGTATTCTAGTGCCAGAAGCTTTTTTAACAGTGTTGTAATCTTTTACATGACTATTTGATGCCATAGAAAATACAAATTTCTTTTTTACAAATAATGTTTTTGTTCTTTCAGGCATGTGAATAAGAAGAAGGAGAAGTTGAAAGCTAAGAGAAAGGAGAAGGCAGAAGAAGAGGAGGAACAGAGGAGGTTTACTGACCATGTACAGTTTGGAGAGGTTGTGTCTCAGCCTCCAGAGTTGACAGCAAGACCCAGGAAGGCTGGCAAAAATGACAAGGTGTGTGTAAAAAATGTAATAACATTTGTTTGTGATGTTTTTTTTTGTGATGACCCTGTATCAGTAAACATCACATTGATTATGTTGACCCTCACATAAGGTAACTGGTGCTGCAGCAGACACCCTGTGGTTGTTCCATTGAATTCATAAAAAACTCAAATATGACCATGTAGGTTTGACATCTCTAATTTCTTATTTCCAGCCTGGCAAGAAGACACTTCTCCTAAACAGTCTCTTGAGCTCCAAAGGTAAAACCGACACCACAAAATCATCTAAACAGAGCAGGAAGAGAAAAAACAAATCAGCTGCAGAACAGAGGATGCTAGACGCAGAAAGAGAGAGAGTCATCCAGGCATACAGAACAGCCAAGAAGGCCAAACTCAGCGGAATGTCACCACCTCCGGCGAAAAAGATTATAATTGGAGACTTATGAGTTTATTTTTATGATTAAATGCAGATCTAGTTTTAATAAACTTAGTTGAATGTGTGAGTTATGATTCGTGTGGTGTCTTAATATGTTCCTTCTGGTCATTTATCACACCATACACATAGAGGGCACAATCACTTTTTTATGGCATTTGCAAACTGCACTTTGCCTCTTTCCCGCAAGAGGCGCTCGTGCACTACTAGCTCGATCCGCTGACTGAACGTCACCATACCTCCAACAGTGGACAGTAAACCTCGCACTCAAGGCTTCACAAGTTGAACGATGAGGCATGAAATATTCAAGCACTTCAATAACGTCATGCTAAACGATTTCTAATCACTAGGGCTAAACTGTCAGCTTCATTACACTCTAACGTGACGTTTACACCACATCTAACACCTGTTAGATTTCAAATCTTACGAGGTCGATTGGGGCGACAGTTACGCCCCCTATGGGAATACTGTAAGAGTGACAGCCGAACTCTTCCGTGAAGAGTGCCGCGTCGGAACACTTCACAAGGATTCTTCACAGAAAATTAATTTCGTCTGGGGAAAAGACTGTCTCTTGATTGCAATTACATGTCAACAGCGAGAAATGCCATTTCAATACCAATGAATTATGTTTAACAGACCATACCGCATAATATGTCATAGTTAGGTTTATGCACGGTCATGGGCAACGGTAATAACGTCTTTGAAGGATATTGCGAATATGGAGAGCCATTTGTTTACGACATTTTACGATGTCAAACCAGGAAATGTATTTTTCTTGTCTTCTTTTCATGATTCAGGCCGTACACACATACAAACAAGACATGATAACGACGTGTATGGTAATGTATTTGAAACGCATATATAGAGCCATAATGAACCATTCTAAGCGTTTACGGCGATCCTTAATCTACTGAAAAATTACTCTTCATTCAGAGATCCCACGGTTATGAGGCGACGGAGTTGTGGCAGCTAGCCTGGTAGCCAGACCACCGTAGGCTCCCCGGTATCTCTTCGGTGCTAGGAGCACTGCCGCCTGCCTAGGCCCATTAGCGCACGCCGGGGTCGGTTTCAAAAAAAGGCAAGAAACAACGTTAGGAGAGGCCATGCTTTCACTGGAGACACTGCACTAAAACACTAGTGCACTGCGAAGATCTAGAATGGTAACCAGGCTAGACTTATGTAGCCTGGATGCCAGACCCGTAACACGCTAGGCACAGTGGGGTAGCCAAATTGCCTGTGAATCAGGGCAAAACTGAGGGGAGGCTGTGGCATAATTTCCTTGGGTGCATGTTGGCTCTAGAGTCGAGGAACTGGCCTATATGTAGGCCCTACAAACAGTCTGGCACCTAGGCTATGACCGATGAGTTATGGTAATTTCAACCGCTAAGTACGCGGCTGAAATCCCCTGATGTCTGTGACAGAGTCCAGATGCCTTGATCCTGTTGCCGTAAAAACGCCGATAATGGACCATACATGTACGCACACATGTTTTATGACCCCATATCTAAAACGTTTATGCACCCACACACCGAGAATGTCATGGAAGAGGATATACGGAAGATTCTCTACGTCCTGGTGGATCTAGGATAAGTGTCCATGAAGGGTTACGTTAAGTATCGCTTCCAACTGTGAAGTTTGCTCATAATCATCATTCTACGTTTCGTTGCGCCCATTTCTGACCTCCAACGAAGGTCGCTTGTGCTATCATTTACAAAAAAATACTAACACTTTTGAATAAACAGTGGACCACAACTTAACGTCCCGTCCTATATAAGTAATGCGACCCTTTACAATAGCGTACAATTCCGGTGAGCGACAACAGTCGGGATTCGAACTCCCAACCTCTTGGTCCAGAGGCAGGGTCGCTAACCACTGGGCTACGCACGCTACATCAGGTTAAGAATAACAAAACCACGGCCTTGGTATATAAATGCAATATCAACATCTGCCCTTTGCCGTTTGAAAGGCTACAGCTGAATTATTTATTAATGCCCTGTATGAAAGAAAGGGTGATATTTTAAGGGCACCGAGAAGTCGCTGTCAACTGATTTAATATGTGCTCACCTGAATCACCTTAAAGGCCAAACGAGGACATATCAATATCAATATTAATGATAATTTTTGTAAATATGCACGTATTCAACAGGAGAAGTAGCAAGCACGAAACGTTCTGAGGGTACGGGATATTTGAAAACATTCAAAGAATGAAAATCAAGCAATATTCGCAAGCAAATACAGAATATTTATTTTCACGTGATCTAACCCAAAATATAGGAAGTTCTCGCGTGGCTTGTTTGATGGCTATTTCAAACGTTTCATGTATGAAAGACAAGACGTGCTATGGTACTAATTCTCAATATCAGACAGATTTCCTTATCCAGAATATTTTTGTTTTGCCTCCCTGAAACTGCACTTGGTGTTTTTAACTCAGTCTGTAAATGTAAAATTCCACCCGCATTCGGAATTACTTCAGAGCGTCTCCAAAGCAAGGTTAATTTTACAGCAGGGTGGAAACTGTATTGAACACCGACCGCCGACAAACAGGGAAAATCAAGCGGCGGAATGCAGGAGTTCCAGACGAGAATCAGCAGGTATAATCACGCCACTATTACCCAGGTCTGTCCCTATTTGCGAGGCGGCGCAGACAGTTAGAAGTAATTTGGCTGATGCGTTTCTTATTGACCCCCAAGTCTCGGAACGGCATTTGGCAACCAGCGGGTTGTCTGTGGGAAAACATGGTGGGAAAAGTTGGAAAGTACTGTAAGTCATGATTTTTTGCGGTACTTTTAAATTCGAGGTTTTCACGATCACTTCTGCACCTTTTCAGATGGAACCATCTCTGGTCGGTGAACTAGGAACAATGAATTCGAAAATTGAACCAGTCCACGAAAATAGACGGAGGACGCCACAGGCTATCTGCCACGTAATCAAACTGCAAACTTGATTCAAAGAATGGGTTCACTTAGTCGAATTTATTCTAGCACGGGACTTATTTTTTTGTCCTTATATTTGTACGGTCGCAAACTGAGGGCATTGTTGTCATCGTCGTGCTTATGTCGTACAAAATTAATCTGCCTTCTTACGAAAAAATAACAACTTTTAGAGCTTGTCGGCAGTTGGTTCTGTCCCAACTTCCTTGAACATCCTAAGACATCAAGACGGAGTACGACGATTGTAGACACGGTGTAGATGATTGACAACATCCTTCTGCGATAATGCGGCAATTGACTGCTCGTTTGCTGGGCTTATCTTCTACTAGTAATTCAACTGGAGCGAATCAGGCAAATGTAACCCCATTCACGAATCCGGGACAACCAGGAACAAATTGCACTAATTTCGGAACAGTTAATTTGGTTGGTTAATTGGGGTGAAATTGATTTCTGGCAGTGGGGAGAAGATCCAGGTCTCTTGTGGCACGATCCCGGCTTCTAATGTGGAAATGAACACAAAACGGTTATGCATTTCAAACAAGACATCGGAGACTTCAGACTTCCCGGTCCAACTATTTTGGATTTTCGTGACCTTCAATTACATTTTCGTGATCTTTAAGTTAACAGACCTTTCGGGAGGGTTGTGGGTTTTCATAAATGTATTAGAACTGTGAAGGCCTTAGGGAGTTGTATGGTGTAATTTAGTCGGGTATTAAACCCCCTGAATTCCTCCACATACCTGCCACTTGCATGCTCCCACCGAGCACGTGCTTGGTCCCTTTCAACCTTATAAACTCCCTATCAACTACTCGCCATTCAACCGTCTCTACTCGGTCATAAACACATTGCACACACACACACAAACACACACACACATTTCCTATACCTGAATGAGACCAAGCTTAATGTGATGATGTCGCAACTTCTTATCATGATCATGTTCAATAAGTTCAATAGTTGTTCAACACGTTCAATAGTTCTTCGTCTTTGAATGTTTGGAACCGCCCGTTATTTGCTATCTCACAAAAAGCCAGTACGAAATTTTCACGGACGCCCCATCTTGAATAGAAGTTATTTGGTTGGAGTTATAAAGTTGCCCAAACTCAAACGAGATATTCAGAATTCAGAGGACGACCTTTTTAGTCTGTCAGAACACGTTTTCGTCAAGCTTCAGCAGATTCCAGCAGGCAGCAGACGGGATGTTATAATCCAGCCTGTACCGCATCAACGGGTCCTGCTTTATTATCAACACCGGTTTGTCTGTAATAATGGCTCTGATTCATAATAAGGCTTTACGTTGTCTGGTTAGTGATTTATATACGCCTCAAAGTTTGTGCAAAAAAATTTGTTTAAAAAATCTATATCAGATCGAATGCAACTGGAAAGCATTTAATGCAACCACATACTGTATTTATAATACATTTCTAGTACAAATGTGGATATATGTATGAAATTATATTACGTAGTTTGTTGTATTTTTACGATTTAATTGATAATTTCAATTCAAGTGCTAGTAAACGTAAACAATTCAATTCGGACGTAAAAGTAAACAATTCAGTGGTAAACGATGCCTGCTCTCATATAACTACCAACACAGATGCGCACTTTCATGATGTTCTATCCCTGTTGTGTGTTAAGAGCAACAGTGTGCACTAGCCTGGAATTTTTGAAACATCAAAGAATGTCTCAAAGGATTTAATTATGCGTAGAATACATGATCATTACCATAAAAGGGAATGAATGTCCTGACAGATATATCAAAGCAAGACAAGCTCCTTTGAAAAGGTATTTTTGGCTCCAGTGTTTGAAGCGTGTGACCTAAAAGTAGCTGTTGTTTACCAAATATGGTCAATCGTTGTCTCGCGAATTCTCAGAAACATTCTGCATATGACAGCCTCTGATGTGTATTTTTATTACACAGCCACTGGGTAAGATATTTTTATCAAATAAAATAAAGAGTACAAGACACATCTTAATCAAATTTCTAATTTTAGCCTCACTACGGACAAAGAAGAATACAATCAATAGAATCCTTCCCACACTTGTATATGGCGCAAAGGGCGGTGCCCATCTCTGTTTCTGTAGCCCTTAGGCCACACAGTTGTGCAATCACTACATGAAGGGGTTAGTCCACTGGTAA